CAGGACAGCAAGTGGAATCCCCCGTCCTGGATTTTACAAACAACATGGAAGAACCTGGTGAGATTAATATCAAACAAACAGCATGTGCAAATCCAGCTAACCCTCCTCTTCCAGCCCCGTGCACTAAACCAAGATATACAAAAAGTCACAGAGCCCCACCACCACCTCTGACCCTTCCACACATCAAAACAGACAATCCTGTTTGTGTTCAAGACGATCCAAACACTTTTGTGTGATAACTAAGTTTTGGGGGGTTGGTAATTACTGTGGGAGGAATAAAAATTTATTTCTGGGGTTGGGAATTTAGAAACGTACATATACTTAGGTTTATGTTGACACGTTTTTTATTTAAAAATACATTAAAGAGTGTTCAACAGTAGTGTGGAGAGACAGTGACAGAGAGAAGCAGAGGCACAGAGACAGGACAGGTTGTTCTCTGTGTTTCCTGTTGTTGTAATAAAACTCAGCTGATCATCTCACGGAGTACCTTCATTCTTGGACCACGTATTTCTGTCTTTGTTAAATAAATATTTACCATAACAAACCCCAAATTAAAGAAAAAATACACAGCACACAGAAAGAAAGTAAACACAAATAAATAAAAATCACAGAAAAACTCAGCTTTTTTTGTTTCTGCTCTCGGTGAAGTAAGACACTTCTCCCTGCTCTCCTGCCCTTCCTTATTTTTCCCTGCTTTGCTGCTGGAGCCTTCTCTACATTTTCATCCGAAATAATAAATTATGGTCATTTTTATTTTTATGGACTTGGTTAGCTGGTCTCTCAATGAAATTTTTGGAACAAAGTTTTTCTTCTTCCATGGGAGGACATGTCAAAGGTGAGATCTCTCTTCTTCTCTGTTCTGGTTATATATCTTGATTCTGATCACTGGATTCAACAGATTGGCTTCGTGGTCTCCTGGTGGTCTACAAATCAGTGTCGGTGGCTGTTCATCTCCTGGCTGCCTGACCAACTAGAGGGGTGGTCGTATGCTATCAGCACTCGGACAATGGGCCTCATGCAAGAACATGTTCGTATTCTTCTCCTAAATTTCTCTTACTTTTGTTCGTACAAAGGGTTCGTAC